GGGCCTAGGGCCACCTTGTGTGACAGAACCTGCCTTCCTCCTCCAAGTAGTGTAGAACTCGACATACTTTTGGCCAGCTCAATTTGTACTCAATCCATCTTCCAGCCCTTGCCACGTGGCCAGGTGTTACAAAGACTGCAGCTTTGTGGAAGGAATGAGAACGTGAACAATATGTAGTACTTCATGTTGCTGAGAATTTGCTCCACTGTGTCCTCATGCTCATTTACTTTCTCTGTCAGCCAGCCAAAACTGTTCCTTATGGCATTGATCGCCGAGAACATGCCTGGGTACAGGAGACTCCAAAAGATTGGCTGTACATTCCCTGAAGCTTTGGGCTAGCCTTTGATCTTATTGCTCATCTTTACTGTAAGCATTTGTCCAAATAACCTACTACTCAATGGCCCCTCATTACCATGTACACCGGTTATGGGAGTGTTAAAGTTAACTATGCTCCACACAGGATAGGGTGTGCCCTCATTTTGGCAAATAGTTTATCTCAAAAATGACTCAGGAAATTAGAGGTTACCAAGAGTCATTTTCATTTAAGGAAGGCATCCCACAGGCTTTTAAGTGGCCTGCATGATTTGTGCATTTTCATCTTTTCCTCATAGATTGTGTTCCAGATTTCGGCATTGACAGTTTGAGAGTTATACCCATTACCTAAAAAAAAATTTCTTCTTTTCTGTTTATTGTGTAGTACACTGTGTATTATCTGCCTGCCCAGGACCTCACAACCCAAGGGTATCTGCACTTCAGTAGTGCAAGTGTAACTAGTCTGTGAATCATTTTAGGATGCTTCAGGATGAAAGGGCCCATAGAGGGATGTAAAATATGATCACCAAAATATTATTGACTGTACCAGACTTAAGTGGCAGACACTAGGAATTCTTTATCCATGAATATATAAGTGTCATTCCACTCCAGCCACTGATGGATTTTGTTTATAACAGTGAAGGACACAGGTTATCATAGGTGTTCACATGTTCTTCTTGTAGGGAATTCATATTTATGATGAGAATTTCTGAAAGCACTTGCAGGGTGTTTGTGTTTAATGAGACATTTCTCTTTTACTATGAGTTAGAACATTTATTTTATGGAGCATTTCACAGAGAGCAGCTCATTGATGATTGGCATTTTATAACCTCCTCCCCCACTAACCAGAGAGAGAGATAACAAGGTCCCTTGCATAGAGCTCTTAGTGAGACCCTAGTTAAAGGGTTTAAGGCTGCATTTTTAAGGGAGCCTAAGTAGTCAGGCAGACAACTCCTACTTAAAATCAGTGGGAGTTGTCTGACTAACTCCTTTTAGGCGCCTTCAAAATATCTCAGCTTGAATAAATGAGGACACATTATTGGTCTTAAATGAGCCCCCAGTTTGAGGTTTAAAACAGATAGACAAACTACAATCTTAATTCAAGCATTGTAATAGATAGCCATTGCATACCTAACCCCATATCTTTCTGTGCTTATAGATTCCAGTTCTTTGAATAGTGACCTAGTAATGTGATCTGGCCATTGGATACCATGAGGGCATGTATGAAACAAAATTTACTATGAAAAAAAGTAATGTGATCTGGCCATTGGATACCATGAGGGCATGTAAGAAATAAAATTTACTATGAAAAACACCCCCAGCACAGATACATTTTACTGTTGAATTTCCCCTCTGCACCAGGAATAAAAAAATGCTAATGCTTTAACTTTTGATTTTCATGCTGTCTCTCAGAATTTGTAAGCCAAGGTGATTGTTGATCAATACTACCATTTTTATGTAGGAGGTGATAGACAATAGCATTTATTTCCCTTTAAAACCTGCATCTTCTGATTAAGTAGATGGGTTAGTGTAGAGGCTGTCTAAGAAAACAGATCTAGGTTCATTATAGGCAGGGCCCTGCTAAATTCACAGCCATGAAAAAACACATCACAGGTCATGCAATATGTTCTCCCCCCATAATATCTGGTCTTTTGTGTACTTTTTGTTGCACTTTTATCCTATATCATACAGATTTTATGAGGGAGACCAGTGTTTCTCAAATTGTGGTCTTGACCCAAAAAGGAGCTGAAGAGGAGTCACATTTTTAGGGATGGGGTGAAGGTTGTGGTATTGCCACCCCTAGTTCTGAGCAGCCAGAAAGAGGCAGCTGCTGACTGAGGACACAGTTCTTCAGGCATCAATGCAGAAGTAAGGACAGCAGTACCATATTATTCTTTCCACACTTTTGTGCTGCCTATGGCAACAGATCTTCCTTCACAGCTTCTGGCCAGCATCCACCGCTCTACAGCTTTGAAGGCAGCAGTGGAACCAGCAGCAGTGTGAAAGTATAAGTAGCAGTATCAACCCCTAATACCTCTTCCACACACACAATAAGCTTGGGACATCTCCCCCACTTTTTTGGGGGAGGAGGAGAGGACAATAAGCTTGGGACATCTCCCCCACTTTTTGGGGGGAGGAGGTGAGGACACTTACAATTACAACACTGTGAAATTTCAGATTCAAATAGATGAAATCAGGAAAATCCTATGACTGAGAAACTGACCAAAAATGACCAGGAATTAGGTTGGGCCCTAATTATAGGGCAACAGGTTTGCCATTCACAGAAATGCTGAAGAGAAGCTGCTTTTAGAGAGCAAAATATTTCTGAATTGACACTTCAGAATAGATCACTGGTCTACCAATGTGTATTTTGACTTTGGCCATCTGCTGCTCCTTTATCATAAAGAAAGGGTTTTCAACCTGTGGTCTGTGGGACCCTCAGTATCTGCAGATTATGTCTAAGGGATCCACAAAAGGTTGTTATTAAACACAACAGTGGTTTTCAATCTGGGGTCTACTGACTCTATTGAGGTCCATACTTCTACTTTAAATTCCCTTGGAGGACCACGAATGAAAAAAAGTTGTAAACAACCTTCATAAAATATCTTCAAAAATTTTCATTTGAATCTCTAGATGCACTTGTTCTTTAAAAACCATCCACTCAAATGAAGTGCCTAAATATTAAAACTATGTGAAATTAACAATTTCTCACTTTGCAATTGTTTCCCACAATAATGTAGTATTTTGTATTTGTGAATCTGAACAAAGGAGAAATGTCAACATCCCTTCGAAAAACATAGTTTGTTGAGGGACAGGCCAGATAGTATTGCTATTAATACTGATGGACAACATTCAAGTGGAAATCTCTGCTGGTCACTAAATCATCCCCATTCTCATTCACATACACACCAACTTAGTAAGATCAAAGTCACACTAATAGCACACACCACCCAGGGCTTTTTTTAAAAAAAATCAGGAGAAAATCTTTATAAACCATTAATCAAAACTAGGTTCTGTAAAACCTAAAATCTCTCTCATCCTCAAAACCTTATTGTAGAACCCTGGCATATCTCTGCCCTGATATTCTAACAGAGGAGAAGCCAGAATTAACTCATGCCCATGAGACATATTTCTCAGATCTTGGATCGGGTTAATGCAGATGGCATTATGTGAGTCAATGGGACTATTCACAGGAGTAAAACAAGAAGGACCACCTCAAAATATCCCAAGATTTGGTTCCACATGAAAACACCTACTCATCTCTGTTTGGCATTATGGGCACAACTATATCCTTTCATATTCTAGAAAACTCTTGCAGTAAAGGAAATTTTTTTTGTTAAGGTAGGAAGGGAACTTGTTTTTCTCCCTCTCTTGCTTTTGAAAGTTCTTATTATTGCCTTGACAGACAGACGGACAGACACACAAAGAAATTCAACAGTACTATTCACGTTATTCTTTGAAAACAGAAAAAAATGGCATTAATGCAAGAGAAGATTACACCTCTCAACAGGCTTCGTAAAAAGTCTCTCTCAGCAATATGCTAGAATATACCTTACACTCCATAACACAGTGTCTCAAATTGAAATTATCCAACGTAGAAAAATTGTAACATAATATTCTATCATCTTGAAATTTAATAATCCATAGTAATCTTTTGAACACCACTTTGAAAAATTACTTTTAATCTCTCTCTCATCTAAAAGCACACAATTTTTTCCCCCTACATCAGAGCTGCGTGTTTATGGAATCTATCCCACCAGATGTCATCAAAACTTATCCCAGAGATGTGACAATAAAGCTGTACTTGTAAAAATGCCTTTTCTGTCCACAAACAGCCTTACACATACAAAAAACAAAAAAACAAAAGCCCACAACAAATGTTCTATAGCATTAACCTCACATTTCAAGGAGTTTCATTCCACCAAATAAGAGACAGTTGAAAGTTAATGGGAGTTGGTAAACCTAACTGCTTTTGGTACCTTTGAAAACCTCTACCTTCTTTTATATATATTGACCCTTTTCTCTTTTAAAAATCGTCCTGTTCTTTTCTCCTCCACTGGATCTCTACAGCATCCATATTGTGCTTTTGCTATGATAATACACACAGTGCTTTCCAGCTTAGAAACTATCTGTAAAGATGTTTAACTAGGGTAAACCACCAGAAGACTACAGAAATTTTGACATAGTATTCATTCAAAGATGCCATACATTTCCCATGAACCTTTTTTATCATGCAGCCTCTATTCATCTAAAAGAGCACAAAACCACCACAATCCATTGAAGTACTTTACACTGATTTCTCCATCCACAGTTTGAAGAATACCTCCCAAATCTTACAAGCACGTCTAGCTATATAGACTAGTGGGCCTAACACAACAGAGAGTCCCAGTCCTGACTAGGATGTCTTCTGCTGCTTGGACACAAACTATCAACTGTAATTAGACATTAGTCAAAATACTTCAACCAGCCCTACCTACAGCCGTTGCAAAATGGTGCTAAGGATTACAGATTTTGTCAAACAATGTAAAATGAATGTCTAAATGTCTACTTTTGGCCTTCTGCTGGGACTTTAAATATTTCCATAAGATTTTCACGTTATTATTTGATTTTCATTTTTTTACTTTTAAAAATAAGTATTTTTAGGAAAAGATGAATGCACATTTGAAAAGAGTTTTGAAAAATATTACCATATTGTCTCCAATCCACAGACGGAGGCAAATTCAGCCACAGGATTAGGTTGTTCAGATTATTTAAATAAGATGGCAGTGAATGGAACCCTTTCTGGTTGTACCACACCTGAGAAAGAAAACAGATATTACATGAAAGATGGCCTGAACCAGAACCTCAGATCCAAATACCCTGGAATATTAGTTAATTTCAAATACAACATTATGTAAGATTGCAGGAGCTAGGTGCTTCTCTGCAGAGCAGTATACATGGGATAGGGTGTTCTGGGTGGATCAGAATCAAATGAGCTGTAGAGTTCCTTTGGTGGGTTACAATCATCATCAGCTTTATTTATTCAGGGCTCTCCATCCAACTAGCAACAAAGGAAGAGAACTCTTAAGTTAATGGATTACCTAAACTAGACCCTTGCATCATGTCAGGTCAAATACACATGAAATACATAACTCTCCTATTTGTGCTGAAAAGGTAATATTAATTGGTTTAATCTGAAACCCAGTGGGAGAATTTAGAAAACAGTAAAACTTTGAAATACTTTTTAGTGTTGAGATTTCAAAATGAGATATGCAAGCAATAAAAAAACAACAATCAGAGCTAAAATGTGCTCTGACCTTATGCTCAAGAAGAATAGAATGGGACAGGAGAACTCAAAGGCCAAGACTACATGAAACTAACAATGCTAGCCATTCCATATGAGGCATTGATGGGTGAGGTCAATAACTCATCCATACCTATTCAACAGAAAAAGCATGAATAATATTTCCCTTAATGGTTGCTGAAACATGCTCCTCCCTTGCACAGTGAGAGACTCTGGGAGGCACTGTCCCAGAGCTTAGGCACAATACCTTCTTGAACAACACAGGTCTACACTACTGTTATCTTTATGGAACAATCCAGCACACTTAGCACCTGTTTCTGACTGGGCGCATCTACACTGTACTCTAAACTCAAAATAAGGTACACAATTTGGCACATCTATACAGTGCAAAATTTTGAAATCAAGTGCTATTTCAAGCCATCCCTTATCCCTCATGCAATGAGATTTACAGGAATGGTGACACAGTGCATCTGTTATTTCCAAAAATATTTTGAAATAATGGGTGTGTTCTTTGGACGTGGGGTAGCTATTTCGGGATACATCTCGTATCCCAAAATAGCCTTGCAGTGTAGATGTACCCTCACAGCCTGACCAACATGCTTCAGCATTTAATAGAATTACCACTTAAGGGTGAGAAAACAGCATAGTCTCCATGCCCTGCCAGATGATACCAACAAAAAATGGTGATGAACTCCATTTTTAGTTGAATTTGCTAATGAATACCTGTCTACAGGAACTAGGCTGACCTTCAACTCATTGCACATGGGCAACCACATAGACATGGAGTACAAAACTATGCAGATCAGAGAATTGTTATTAACAAAAGGATCTCATTTTTGGAGGGGAAAATAATTCGCATCGCTCTAGGATATAGCTAGCTCTTGTGACTGTAAATAATTATAAACCGGGGATTGTTTTCTGGCTCTTAGGATTCTTCTGTGTTCTAGTTTGAGATCATGACAACTATATAATCAGCAGGGAAGCTACTAATGGTTCAAAAAGAGAGCAAAATAGACACAGAACAGGCCCTGGGCCTCCCATATAAAAATGCAGGAATAGTCTCCAGATATTCAACTTTAAGGCCTCTGCCATTCCTGGTCACCTGTGCAACCATGTGCCAGCACTGAATCAAAACCTTACTAGCCAGTGATGCCAATTCCCCAATACACCATCCCATTTCTTCCTCTATCTGTTCTTTTAAAAACTTTTGAAATAAGAATGTTAAACATACATAATGGAATCCATGGCAATTATGCACATTGTAAAGACAAAAAGAAGCAATTACAAAAAACAATAATGTAAGATTTTGCTGACATATCCTCAGTTAATTGGAGGTAGGGGAGAGATCTCAATAAGTAGTCACAGAATAGCCTAGTAAATGTCATAATTTAACCAAAATAATAAGGAAATCAAAAAATGACAATATAGCATTGTCTGTAACAAGAAATTTAGAAGTCCTGACCAATAATTAGAATCACTGCATCTTCAGAGTATTTGCAGCATTCTACATCCCAGAGTGCAATATAATTATGTAACTGAGTCAGGCCATCAGGAAATAACTAACTTAAAGCAGAATATTTAATCATTTATAATCTGGCAAAAAAGAAAAAAAGTCTTTGATGTTACCTTTATCAAAAGATGCATCTAGTTCTTTTTCAAGAGACTGACTATAAATAATTTTGAATCAAGTGACCACAACATTGAAAATGAGATACTGGCACTTAACCTCATCCAAAAACACATGCAGCTATGCTAGACAAAACACTGCCATGTGTACAATATGTTTTATGGTGAGGGAAAAGAGTGGGGAGGACTCTGCAGATTAAACTTGGTTTTCTAATTGGGTCTGGTATGCAAAGCCCTGGAAAGTCTCCCTTCCAACACAGGACCAGTTTTAATGCTCAAGTGTGGTAGAACCGAGACACAGGAAGCAAACATGACAGAGGGCTTTGGAGTGGAACTAAAGAGATCTGGGCCCAAGTCCCATCTCTGTAACTTCCTCTTCCTGCTTAATCTTGTCTTATTGAGTCTGACTTCCTGTGTGACTATAGATGAATTGAGTTATCCACATACCTCAGTTCCCCATCTCTATAAGGAATATTTTAAGAACTCTGAGGTGCTTGGATATTACAATGATAAGGGTCATAATGATACCGTGTTAGATGTGTATTCATAGATAGACATATTTTGCCATGCATCTATATTTCTGCATCTACCACAAGGGGAACAAAGTAGGGGTTTGAAATGCTTTGAACGACAGCACATATTTTGCCAAGATTAGTGCACATGTTCTCCACTGACAGGGATGGTCTCCACAGATAGAAGAGTTAATATCCAGGAGAGCTCCTAAGAGTTCTATGTCCCAATAATGCTATTACCATCTATGTCTTCTTCTATGCCAACTGTTCTTAAATGTTTATATTTTATTTGGCTCATTAAAAGTTGTGTCAGTCTCTTTCCTTCTTGAATATCTATGAGTAAAATACATCCCTAGAGGAATTCTGCATTAGAAAAGTGGTTGGCTATTCCTTAGATTAATGCTATCAAATTGTGAATGTATAACATTTTATCCGACTATCATCTGACAAATTTCTCTCTCAGTGGGAATTTTTCCCCCCTCCAGGTTAGAATTACCTTGTGAATAGACATAGATCACCACTTTGGGATATAATCAATTTCTGATTATCTCAGCTCCATGAATATGTGACAACTTTGTGAGGTCAAACTAGAAAAAAGGCCTGTGCTTAGTGACGGACCACAACAAGAACTCAAACTGTCTATAAGAGTCAGGTTTTTCAGATATTTTAATACAATAAGTTCTTCAAGGACATGTCTGAATATAAATCTTAGCACTTATTTAGCACCAATGGATCGACCACCACTATTGCTTCCTCATTGGATCAAGGTAGGCTTGGAAGCAGTTCTTTGCTTCAGTTTCCCTCTTAATGAGGCTTCTTTAAAAAACTCCACACAAGTCCAATGACAACTGGGGTCTGATTTTATTCATCTAAAATTCACCAATGGAAGAAAGCTTTCCACCTCATTCTTAAGCTGGGCACTGACTCTCATCCCTGAGTGCTCACTTTCTCTGTTGTCTGAGCAGCAGGAGAAGATGCAAGGCCTGACTCGCCTTTGGGCCTTCTCTCCCAAAAGAAATCACATTTCCATACAGGCTTTCTAACCAGTCACACTCTTCAAAGCAGAAGTGTCCCTTCCTCAAATCAGGGACCACTGCAGAAAAATCCCTTTTTGCCTCTCCTTGAGCATCCTCCTCTTCCTGCAGTTTGAACTGTTTGACCCTAATAAGGTGTGTCTCCTTAGTAACGTGAATTAGCTTGCCTCAGGCCTCTGACACTTAAAAGGGCACGCCACCTTGCTGCAAGACCTTTATAGGTCAGATTACAGATAGAGACAATGAACACACAACATAAGTGAGGAAGGGCAGGGCAGAAGAACAAGATGAGCTGTTGAGTTCTGCTACATGCTACTATTCCATGATAGCCATCTTTGACTGTTGAATGCCATAGTTTTTCTTCCGATATGTTTGGTATGTGATGCATACCGTGGCTGACTTTTTGTTACATTCCTGGAACAAGAGGCATTCAAGGTGCTAGCTACCTTCCATGTTTTGGCTGGGTATTGTTAAAATTGGGAGTGGAAAGCTAGTTGTCATGCACATCCTGCAGCGGAGAGGAATAATTTGAGAAGGACTCAGAGGTTTTCTTCAGTGTAATGAATTGTACAGTAAGTCACTTCATATGCAAATTTCCCATTTTTAGTCAGGAAAGGCTATGTAAATGGTACATTCGCTGTCTTGTGAACAGGCCTGAAAGGTCAAAGTAAAAGACTGGTCATTAATTATTGAAAGGTTAATGCAATAATTTGACACTACATCAGTCGAAAACCACTTCAAGGAGGTAGTTTAGATAACACAGTGCCCTTTATAAGTCTAATGCACTATTATGTAGGCTCTAAAAAATGAAGCTTATTCACGAACCATACAGCTATAATTTATCCTTGTGCTGATGACAGGTATAGTAGACACCAAAGATAAAGATAAAAGAAAAAAAAAAAAAAAAAAAAAAAAAAAAAACTAGCAGCCAGAGACACACAATATATTGTAGCCATCTGGACTAATTATGCATTGATCAGGACCAAGACCTGAAAGCTGCAAGAAATTTGGAGGAACATAAATAAAGATAAGATACTGTCACAGGTATTTTTAGCAATATAGGTAGGATCTCTCTGGTCTGGGACTCTCTGGTATGAGAACATCCATGGCAGAATTGTACCCTTAAACATAAAGAATCCTGCTGGACCATGGATATTGCCAGACCAGAGACCCATGGGGCCAGGAGCACAGTCAGGGCTAGCAGCTGGAAGCTGGGCAGGGGCACAGTTAAGGGCTAACACCAGGAGCAGGGCTGGGAGTGTGGCCAGTGCTGGTGACTGGGAGCACCGTTGGCAGGTGGGAGGGAGCCCAGCACTAAGGAGTGACAAATGGTGAAAGTGGTGTAGGATGGCAGGGGATGGCAAGAGGCAGTACAGACTTTTGTTCCAACTCTGGGGACAGATGCCGCTCTGACAGGCCTAGGCATCTGCACCAGCAGCCCCTGGGCAGACACACCCAGCTGCTCCAGTGGCCCAAAGGACCACTGCTCTGGCAGCCCTGTAGCTGGCCAGTAGCTGCTGCTCTAGTGGTCTCAGGGATGACTGCATCAGTTGCTTCAATCTCATATCTGCTCCTGGGGTAGGTTCTGAGCCACCTCAACCCCCCAGGGCTTCAGCCACGGGGCTACTGTTGTGGTGTTCCTGGGGCTGATAGCTCCATCCCTGCCACTGCAGAAGTCTGGAAGTCTCTTAAAGTCATAGGATCTGTGACCTCCATGGCAGAATTGTACCCCTAAACATAAATAATCATAAGGAAAATGCAAATAGGCATGTGCGGGGGTTTTGATGGACAAATGTAGATGTCAAAGGTACCAAACAAAACTTTAGCTGATAAGGGTACCTCCATGTCCCATATTATTAAGTAACCTTCGGCCCCTGCTGGAAATTTGGTGCTAGGCTTTGGTAAATGGTTCCACCTCTACTTTGTTTACAAGAAACAAAAACGTTTTTATCCACTTTCTAACCAACCCATGTACAATATTTAAGGTCAGGGCTTCTTTCTGTCCGGCTCCAGTTTACTCTCAAAGGTCATCTCCCTTAACATACACTGCAACTCACTTCTTCAGTGCCCTTCATGCCAATGAAAGCAGAAAACAGAAGTCAGTCACAGAGACCCTGAAACACACCTTGGAGATTGCTATTCCTCTTCATATTGCTGGACTCCCACTCTAGCAGTTCTCTGAACTGTTTTATGAGACTTAAAGACTGTTCAGATTGTTTGAAGAAAGTCTTACAACCAATGGAAATACACTAAAATCTGCCAGACTGATAATTCCCACTGGACTCTAGATGCCATTCTACCTTCTATAGTATCCTCTCTGGAAATATTTCGAGTGATCTTCAAAGGGGGTTAAGAAAGGCCAAACTTGGTGGATGGTGGGTGGACTATTCCCTCAGTCCCTGCCTCTTCAGTCCCTTCATTAATCAGGAAAATTGAGGTGATGAGAAACAGTGCAAGACAGTATGATTTACTGGTTAAAAATAAGTCTTGAAGCTGAGAAATCCGAGTGCTAAGCCACTGGCTTGTTATGTGACCACATGCAAGCCATGTGAACCTCACCATGTTTTCATCTGTAAAAGGGAAATAATATATGCTAATATTTGTAAAGTATTTTAGAAGCATCTGATAAGAGCAAAGAATGATTTACTTATTACTCTTGCGGTAACTACTCCTCTCACCCACATCTTTACTTTTCTAAAAATCAATGAAATTGCTATGTATATTTTAGTTTGCTTGTTAAATAAAATAATATTGATCATAAGACTGAAACAGCCATCAACAAAACACAATTGATAGTTCACTTTACTTCAGTCAATTCCAAGATTGATTTTAGTAGGAATGGATAGGAAATAAAGAAAAAACTTAGGCCAGTTATGAGGAAATAGTCTTAAAAGTGAGCTCACTTAGGCTGTGTCCAGACTCAAGGTTTTTTTTGAAAAAAGTAGCCTGTTTTTGAAAAAATTTCACCTGCGTCTCGACTACAGCTACATTCTTTCGAAATTAAATCGAAAGAATGCGGCTTTTCTTTCGACTGTGGAAAATGTCATTTCATGAGGAAGAACACCTTTTTTTGAAAGTGCTCTTTTGAAAAAAGGCGTTCTTGAATGCAAACAGGGCTTTTTCGAAAGAGAGCATCCAGACTGTTTATAACACTGATATGTTTCTAACTCTGAACAAAACATTGTGGTTACTCTTTCAAAGATTTTCAACTGAACATGGACTTAATACAGCTTTTAACTGTCTTAATGTACATGAAAGAAGCACAGAAACTATTTCTTTAGCTTGTCAAATTGTTTATTTAAACTTTCCCTTTTCTTAGTTTATGTTTAACACTGTTCTGTATTTTATTTGCCTTTTTTTAGTTTGGTCTCTGCTGCTATCCGATTATGTGCCTCCAATTCCAAATGAGATGTGTGGTTAACTGATCAGTTTGTAACTCTGAAGTTCTATTGTATGTGAAGTGCCAAGGAGTTAGGAACCTAAATACTTTGACACTGCAACACGGTTTGGACTCCATGTGCATGTCTTACCTTAGTCAGAGGCTTAGAGTATGTTTTATTCAGTTTTAAGTCTTGAATTTCAGGGGATGTCTTCACTCCAAAAGACCAGCCTCCATATCTAGCAATAAAAAACAAAATGATAGGGAGTGGTCAGTAGCTTTCCTCTCTTAGCACTGGGAGAAACATTTTCTTGCAACATAGAATTCACAAATATGTTTACTATTATGTTTTACATTTTGAGTTAGAAGTACAACTTAGCCTCATATATTCACCACATTTTTATTTGAAAAAGAAGTCTATCCACTATTGAATTCTCTGAGTGCCTGGAAGTTAAGTCACTGACAGTGTGGCATCATGGAAGATGCACCAGTTCCAAAGTCAATTACCTCTGCACAGAGGAAGGGCAATCTAACTCCCTTTTGCCAATTTATGCAGTACATAAATGTAATGTTGTCTGCAAGGACTCTCAAGCATAATCCCTTGATCAGGAGGAGGAAATGGGTGCAGGCATACCTGACTACCCTGAGTTTGAAAAGATTGATGTGAGGGACCTCTATATGGACAAGCCACCTGTCTTGAGTCATGAGGACATTTAGAAGAATGTTCCCTCCAATAAGGGCTCTGAGGAGCAATGACTGGGAGGCTTTTGAAACAAGGGTCCCTTTGCAAATATTTGCTAGGTCTTGCTGCCAGTCTAGGAACTTTTTGATCCTGGGGGGTTATTGCAGATATTTGTCTAGTCTGTCTCTCATCTGTAAATGGAACTGATCCACATCTTGAGACATCGCATGTGAAGCCTGGAATGTGGTATTACTCCTGTGGTTGCTGTCATATGCTTCAGTGTAGGCAGTGTTGGGGCATTGGCAGCAGTATCTGCCTGATATTTGTGGGCTGCTTTAAAGGGCCACTATGAATTTGGCCAAGAAAAAGGGAATCTGTATTGTGTTAGGAGAGCTCTGACCATCATGAATTTTTGAGCTTTCACAAACCTGTTGACTGGTCAGAGGTCTAGTATGCGTCTCCCACCTTGCTTTCTCTGGAGTATTAGGAAACAGCAAAGGTAAAAACCTGAGGTAGTGGATCTGTCTCTCATGCTAAGTATGAACAATCTCCAAGACCTATCTGTCTGATGTTATACATTCCCAGTACTGCAGAATGTTGCCAGATGGTAGGCAAATGAGTGGGAAGTGATGGTCAGTTGTAGCTCTTGGGCAGACTGGTCTATCATGCCCTGACCAACACATCAAAATTGGTGTTTGGAAGAGGATGGATGGGATGCAGAACATTAGATGGATGGTATGCAGAAGATGGGATGCAGAAGATGGGCCAGATAGTTTAGGTCCAGTATCACTGAGTCAGGTATTGAGAGGTGCATGATTTGGTGCTGGGACTGTGGGCTATCTTTCCTTTTTTGTCCTGCTGTACAGGTGCCCAGCAAGCAGACAGTGGCCCTAGAATCTTTTAGAGAATGAAGAGAGGAATCAGTCTTCTTTATGAAGAGCCTGGAGGCTTCAAAGGGAAGATCTTCAAGGGTCAACTGCATGTCTTTAGGGAAATCCAGTCGGGGTAGCCATGACATATCAATCACTGTTGGGAAATGGATTGGGCTTCTGTATAAGATACATTCAGAGCATATTGTAGCATAATCTTGGCCACTAGCTGTTCATCCTGGATGACTGCTTTGAACTGGTCACAGTATGACTCAGATAGCTGATCAATAAAGCTGCTCATTTTCAAACAGTTGACATCATAGTTCACCATTGGGGCTTGGTAACAGGCAATTGGAAATTGCAGAATGTCAGAGGAATAACTTTCCTCCCAAAGAGGTCAGACACTTCCAATCTCTTTCATAAGGAGTGGACTGCATACATTTATAACATCTACCAAGATGAAGTTGGATGGAATGTAGAAGAGGATAAATTCCCTCTTCTTCCAATCTCTTTCATAAGGAGTGGACTGCATACATTTATAACATCTACCAAGATGAAGTTGGATGGAATGTAGAAGAGGATAAATTCCCTCATCCTAACTGTGACCTAATATTTTTATTGGCTTACTTGCACATAAGGCACCACTGATGCTAAGGTATGCTGTACAGTTTGTGGGGTCAAAGACAGCATCATTAATATTTGAGAAGGCTGTTTTAGAGAACAAGGAAGAGCACAGCATGTTAAGGAGCTTGTGATACGTGCGATCATCTTGGTGCCCATAGTACTGAGGATACTGAGCATGTTGGAAATAGTTTACGGTTTGCTCAAGGTTTACTTTGGGGACTCACTACTATTTTTATTGATGACTTGTGGAGGGGTCAGTGGCTCATTTCTTTAATCCATGTTGTTGGGGGCTGAAAGGGAAGACTCATTCATGTCTACTAACTGACTCTCACTGTGAGTCCAGGGAGGTTGGAGGGCCTCCTCCATGATGACGATCTTCCACCTCAACTCCCTGTCCTTGAGAGGCCTGGATCTGAGCTGCTAGCAAAATACCACTCTTCTGTGCACAAGGACCGACCCTGAGAAATCATATGCACCAGCCTTGCTTATCTGCTACATAGCTTGCCTCTTTGCAGGAGAGACATTTCATGAAGCCCAGTGAACTGCGCATATTCTGCGTGTGGGGAAGGGTTCCTGATGAAAAAGTGTGTGCGGAGAGGAGCAGGGGGGTGAATAAAATCTTTTGGGGAAAAAAGTACTAAAAGAAGAAACTTCAAATAGGACTGGGGAGATTAACCATAGAAATGTAAAGGAAGATAATGGTCACAAACATGCTGCTAATAGCTCCATCTCTAGCCCGGGAAGTTGAAAAGGAACTGGGGCGGTTAGTCTGTATGCAGTGGCTACCTTTGTGGCAGGGCACAAGGAGAGAAAGTACATGTGTGGGCCGAATGGACATTGATATTGACGTTCTCTGATCAGCAGTGCAGGGACACAAGACACCTACAGCAGAAGATCCACATGGATACTACTGGAAGAACAATGTTAAAGCTACCTTTCTTTGTCTGTAGGCATGATTAAGTATTCCTCCACATTGAAACCGGAGAGGTTGTAAAGGATGTGCCCTTCTTGGTTCTTCACATACACAACAGACACATTGAAGCTTGGGCACTTCTGGAAAACAATATACATGAATCAGCAAAGTTATTTTAAAAACCTTAGACACTGTTTAGCCATGATTCTAAATTTACACTCAAACTTTACTGCCTTGTTTTTCAGCGGGATTAGCTTTTATAACTTTTCAGCAAATTAGATATGGTTTATATGTGCCCAGGACATCTGAAATCATGGTAGCTGTCATCAAACCACCTTCTATTTCTGCTGTAATCTTATCAGTCAACTTTGTTTTGAAAGCATCATTTTTATGCGTGCAATTTTAGTAAGGTTTACAGCAGTGAAAAGCCAATAAGACTTTTACAGTCACTATCATTCATCTGCTGAAGCTGAAAACCCACAAAAAAATACATTGATCAGATTATGAGGGGTACTGGGATTCAAATTCACATGATATATTTGATAGGAAATACTGTACATAAAGATGTTTTTTAATGATTTATTAGAATTCTCTCCTTGAGTTAGAAAGTGGGAAGAAGATACAACGATGTGGTATCCAATATGGCATCCTGTAAGCTCATAAACCACTATCAATACCAAGATCTCTTCCTGAGAGGCTGACTTCATTTTCAAATGTGAGGAAATGAACTAAAAAATACTGTTCTAACCATTTGCAGATTTCTAGCTTCCCTCACGTGGGAGTGAAGAAACTTCAGTCTTCCCACTCTAAAAGCAGGCCAAGTTTCAGTTATACATTGTTTTATATTTTAACACTAAATTTTATACATTGAGGTTTGAGTCCCATATTGTCTTTAAGGCAAAGTTTCACATGCTGATGTAAGTTCAACTCCTCTGACTTGCGTTACCTCAACTGGAAGTGCATGAGAATGTAGGAAGGCAAAATTTGGTCCTTAATATTGCTTGTACTGTTTGTAAGGTACATTGTACGCAGAGAACAGATCATTTCCATACAGACAGATTCTCCCCCACCCCAAAGCTTGAGTCCTATTATCTCCAGAACAAATAAGAATAAACTACAGTAATAGAGGGTGAAAATGGGACTGAGATCTGTTAATTCTCATTACAATTATAAGAGTATTGTTGGATCCAAATAAGGGCTTGGAAATAGATGAGGAGAAATGTGCCCACAAATCCCCAGAGTGTTGATGTTCACAAGTGCTTACGTTGAAAAAAAAAATGTTCCCATGTGCAGGTGCCAGCCACCTTTTGCATCCTTTGTGCTACCTTGCATAAAAGGACTGTCTCCTTCTAGTGTTTCACAGGGTTCCCCCTTTTAACCCTAAAAGGAGACCAAGAGCAGTCCCTAGCCTTCTCTGCACTGGCAAGTTGAGTTTGATAGCCATGGATCAAGTACTGCTAAGACAGGTTTGACACCCAAATCTTGGTTTTGTTGCACTTCTCACATTCAGATTTATAGAAAGTTATATCTGAAATGTCTGACAGCCATCTTTGGGAAAATGCATTTTAAAATAAGAGATTTGTTTCCTAGACAATACCTTCACAATGATACATTTTTGGAAGGTACGATAGTTTCACAAGGTTGACATCATGACTACAAGTGTTCTGTTCACCTGCAGACTAATATTACTTTATACATCATTTCCCTGAAAACTTTAGAAAGATGAAGTCAAAGCAATAATGGAGAGAGAATGAACTCTCCAGTCATAATGAGGCCAATCTATTAGTTTCATTTTGTTAAGGAATGGGATAAAATATACCTGATGTTCTGTCATACACCTGCATGCATCCAAGAATTTCTGTAGTGAACTATGCTCGGTCTGCCAACATGAACTGTGGTTTCTACCAGAGCAGAAATAACAATAGGAACAATCATTAAAAGATATTTTTTTTATCTTTATATAATATTATTTATATAATATTTTATCTAAGAGTAGACGTCAAAATAATGACCAACATTTGCTGCATCTTGACCACTTCCACAATATTGGTTCCAAAACAATGGTTTATTATTGTTCTATTAAAATGTGTTAATTTCATTCATCATGGATCGGTGTCATAACATCTGACACTTCCAACTTAGTGGTTTCTAACTTATTGCTTCAAACTTCTGACAGGTATGCAAATCAGGTACTTGCCTGAGCAAACAGCCAATTAGCTGTATACCAGGTTTTGGTATGAACAACATAGATGCAAGTAAATGTACTTCCTCGACCAGGCATGTCAAACTTGGAAAACCTGACCTTCTATTTAATGAACATTGATTCAGCCTAATGACACTTGCAGTTACTGACTGTGTCACCAGCCTTCCTTCTTACTGACTTTGGACCTGATCCAAAGCCTGCTGAAATTAATTAAAAAGATTCCCACAGACTTCAATGGGACTTAGAAGCCTATTATGCATTTCAGTTAGAAGGCAGCTCATTTATCAATGCAATGCATGAAATGCAAGGATGTACTACATGAAACAGGACATTGAAGATTTAATCACAGAATTCTACACTATCCATTCTTTTACTTTTGGAGGCACATATATTTTATTAAACTTATATTTCATAAGCAGGGCTCGACAAATAATACAATCTACTCGCCCGTGGCGAGTAGATTGTAACCCGGAAGAGCCGGGTTCGGGCGAACTGCGCATGCGCAGAATGATCTGCGCATGCGCAGCTCACCAGACAGCGCAGCTGGCAAGCGGGGCTCGCCACGGTTCAGCGAGCCCTGTTCATAAGGAACGATTAAATCCAGCACTTGACATCTAGTAAAGATTATTGGAATTCGAACCGCTATGCCATCAAGTGCCAGTGATGCCCCTCTGCCATGTATATTGGCCAAACTGGACAGGCTCTACAAGAAATGATTAATAGACAAATCAGATATTCAAAAAGGTAACACGCAGAAACCTGTTGGGCAACATTTTAACTTGCTAAGACACTCATTAATGGATCTCAAAGTTACTGTATTATTGCAAGCCACTTTCAAAAACCAGCTTGAAAGGGAAGCTGCAGAACTTACATTTCATTTATAAGTTTGATACTTGCAACAGAGGTCTAAACAAAGACCTTGTGTGGATGGCCCACTATATTCCACATCCTAATGACATAAAAAAAACCAAGCACGGGGTACTGAAAAGCACTTAGTACCCACTCTATCAGCTTCATTTAGCAAGGACACTACTTTTTTCCTTTTCTCTCTCCTCCCTTCCCCAACCCTTCTCTTTTTCTGCTATTTATTTGGGAACAGGACCCCTTAACTCCATTGATCTGAAGAAGTGGGTTGTGCCCATGAAAGGTCATGACATGATCTACATTTTTGTTGGTCTCTAAGGTGCTGCAAGACTATTTGTTATTTAAGTGTTTTCACCTAATAGGTAATACCCATTTAGTGAATAAATATTACATTAATATAAAATCTTACAAACCCAAAATGTATGTATCAACTATTGATTCCCTCCCCTGTGCAGGAATCTCTGTATTAATGATTGTAATGATTAATGTAGCCACTTAGTGTGCTAAAAAAAAGTTGCATTGTTTGCACTTACACATCTTGTGTTGAATAGGTGCATGGATGATCCTGGTCTGCAAAATCTCTCAGCAGCACATAAGAAAGGTTTCCTAAATCATCACTTTCAGTGCTGCTCAGTGGAGAGAAGGAATAAATAACAAAGTAATTAGAACTAAGGAAAAATTGAGAAATAAATCTGTTCAAAACATCTGCCCTAGCTCAACATTCACAATCTTTGAGACATAAAATCACAGTTGATTAAATCATTGATTAAAAACTAAACATTAAGTGTGAAGGAATTAAAAGTAAAGTTTACTACATGGACCTTAACTCTGCCTATGCTACAGTTACAGGCATAACTCTCCACCAGTTGCCATAAAAAAGAAATGCAAGACTTTCACATGTTATGAGTTCAATAGTATAGACTTATGCTTCATGATAGAACCTGCATTTGCAGACCAAATAAGCTTTGTACACAATGCTTACAGACCTAGTACACTACGCAGAAATAAGCTAAAACAGCTATACACACATGTATGATTGTATGCACATGCCTACATTATATAATCGCATTTTATGACCAAGCTTGAAATAGATTCAGTAGACCCAATCCAGCCTGATCCAAAGCCCCTACTCTTTCACTACCATTTACTTTGTGTCTTAAAACATAATAAGATGCATTTCTGTTACTCAAATGTGCACAATTTACCTCTCATAATTATCTACAAAATTCAAATAAGTGACTAACATACATTTTTGATGGGATGAGCAACTCTCAAGACTTTTTTTTTTAAACAGCCACTATAAAATGTGAATTTGACTACTCTGCTTGGAGGAAAAAAATCATATATAATCAAAAACAATGACCCTACTTCAAAGTTGTTAATGATGATGAATGGGGTTTTTACCTAAAGAAGGATTCTGCATTGTCATAAAGGCTTGGCATCAACTTCAGTGAAGGATAATCAATAGCTAATGGCTTCACAGTAAACAAGGCCATTGCCATAGCAACAAAGAGGACAGGCAGCAGAACATTTGACAGAGTTCCTCTCCAGTCTCGCCTGGTGTGGTAAAACCGCTTCATTAAAAGGGCAGCAATCTGTGTGAGAACAAGCCTTGTTCCACGTACGCTCTGGGCATCCATGAGTGCGTTACCTGCCAGGAGACAGACAAACTTCTTCACAAACATGAACTGTCTTTCCTCTTAAGTCACGATTCCCATCTGATGCTAGGTGCTCAAAGAACAAGGGTATCCTTTAAAAAATGTGTACGTGTTTCTGTTTCTATCTCTATTTACCTTGCTTGTGAAATATTTAGCCCCATCAAGGATAAAAATAAAACAGCCATAACAACAAATGACGATAAAGCAATATTACAGGCCAAATCTTGCACTCATGACTCAGGCAAAAATAACTACTGTACTTAACTCCAGGGTTGAAGTCAATGAGAGTTTTGATTGAGTATGGACCATGGGGCAGATGGAAGGAACTGGAACAGTAAAACCACAAACAATCCTGCTGATTATTTTCACTATAAGGTATTTTGTGCTTTCAAAGTGCTAAACAAATATTCTCTCTCAAATATCAACAGTTACCTACTAGTCTCTGGAGAAGGCAGCATAGGGATGTATTGCTCCACAGGGAGTAGAAAAGGCCTCAGGAATGCACAAACCTGGCCACCGCAACTCATAAAAGATTGTGGAGCCTGCAGTAGTCTTTGGGATGGTGCAGCTTGCTCCCATGAGGATTCCTAGGGAGACCAGCAGCTGTTGGGTATTTCTCTATTACCTGCCCTTACCATGAGGGAATCATGTCTGTGCTGACTCCCTGAATCTATCAGCCTCTGGAAACACAAGCAGAACATTTCAGGCCTCTGCAAGTCTCATTCTCCCTCTACAGAAACAAGAAATTGTACTCTGGCACCTTAGAGACTAACCCAAATATATAGAATCACGAGCTTTCATGGGCAAAATCCACTTCATCAGATGAATTGGAGAGAAAATAAAATAAACCAAGAGACATATTTAACAGCAGCAGAAGTACCTGTCAGTTGTAGGGCCTATGATACTGAGGCTATTTAAGTGGATAATTAAGAAACACCAGCTTTTGATGTGGAAATTGACATATTAATGGCAGGAGAAAATTGCTTTGTAATTCCCCAACCAATTAAAATCTTGTACTCTACCATTTCCACTCCAATTCATCTGATGGGTTTTGCCCATGAAAGCTTATGATTCTAAAAATGTTGGTTAGCCTCTAAGGTACCACAGGACCACTCATTTTTCAAGTTACAGAATAACATGGCTACCCCTCTAAGATTTTTCCTCTACAGGTTTGGGATAGCCACATACCAGCCCCTGAATCCTCCAGGGGTCTTTCTGGAATGCTCAGTTCCTGCTCCACTGCATGCACACACACAATTGTTTGATTCACTATTCCCAAAGGAACTGTATACATCAGCTTCCATGATTTAACTCGGGATCCTCACTCTCTCTAATTAACTCACAGCATTTAATTTACATGCCCGTACGCAGGAATTTCTATGAGAAGTGAGAGCCTTAGGGGTAGTGCATGCCATGGGAGGGGATGGTGGCTGCCCCAGCCTCACCATGGTAGCCCAGCCCCATCCCTGGCCTCACTCCTGAGGGAGTGGGGATATCAGCCCCAGCTTTCCCTCGGCCGGCTGGGGCACTGGGGAGGGAGGTTAGGGCAATTTGCTGATCCTGCCTTCTTCCACCAAGCCCAAGCATGGGGGAGAGAGGCTGGTTTAATACACTGCCCCAGCCTCATGTTTACTTAGGAGATCTTGGGGGGTGCCTTCGCACACTTTGCACCTCACACCCTACGTAAGGCCTGATTTATACACATACACAAATCTGTTTATCATCAAGGAACAGAGATTCAAGTGACAGAATGTAAGACTATTGGAAACAAAGCAAAATCATAACATGCTTTCTCTTACAAGACAGCTTATCCCACATCCTTCTCTCAGCAGGCTGGCTGAACTCCTCCCTTTTCTTTCATAAGATCAAGCTAACTGACAGCTTGTCTTCATAGATGAAATGATAACCAAGGGATCATCCATTGCACACCACATATAGTTTGCAAAGTTCACTCTCACTCCTAAGCGGGATGACTTCTTCTGTTTTTGTTCTTTCCCCACGCCTGCACATCTTGTGGATTGACATCTTGTTCCAACTGTAAATGGATGCCCACGGCAAAACAACTTATACTTAATTTGCACATAACCAGCCATGTGTGTTCCTTCTTCCTTGCCTGCACTAAGAATGTGCATGAGTAGTCGATCAGTCAATTAACTAATAATCTTAGGCTTATCAATGAATCTAGGCAACTACTATCATTCCCACCCTCCTTGCTGCCTCTATATCAGAGGCAGCAAAGGGCAGGTAGGGGGACAGAGGAGGTTGTTGCGAAGCAGTCTCCACCCGCTACAAGTCCAGGCCCACTGTGGGCAGGGGCTGCTGCCAGGAAGCAGCCTCTGTCTGAGGCAGTGCTGGTGCTGGCCATGGTCAGAGACTGTTTCAGGGCAGCCTTCTCCGCCCCCTTACAACCTGCCCCCAACAGCCTCTGTCCACAGGTAGCTCGGACCCCCCCATGAACAGGGACTGCTGCCCCCAGTGCTGCTGCCTCTGTATTAGAGGCAGCAGCAGGCAGCCTTTCCACAAGGGGAGCTGGTTTTGAAACTGGCTCCCCGCACAGACCGGCTCCCACCTGGCACCCCATGCTGATGCCTCAGAGAGAAGCAGCAGCGTGGAATACCAGGGGGTTCCCCAGGAGTGGGGCCAGATTGCACTGGCTGCTGGCCTTGCTCTCAGAGACTATCAAATAGTCAACTAACTGCTAAGAATTCATCTGGTTAGTCACCTATTCACTGAACTGATAGCTAACTGATAACAGACATGCATCTGACGAAGTGGATCTTTGCCCACGAAAGCTTATGCTCCTACACTTCAGTTAGTCTATAAGGTGCCACAGGACTCCTCGTCGCTCTAACATTCCTAGCCTCCACAGATATGAAAGAGAGAGCTGGGACCAACATCCCATCCCATCTCATCTTTGCTGCCTTTGGGGCTCTGTGCATAGCTTGGAGAACGTGGAGTATACATTGTTGTCAGGTCTTTGCACAAGCCATGAAAAGATGTCATGTTCCCTTGGTTCCCTCTGTGCCTGTTATGATAGTCTTGACCTATGTGGACATCAAGCAACTGATTTAACTTCCGCTGAAATCAATGAAACTTTTTCAATTGGCTTTAATAGGAGCTGGACCACCTACCAAGAGAAAATATAACATCACAGGAATTAAACATAGAAAAGTCCTATTAATGCATTCAGTTAATTTCCTTGCCAGTATAGGAATCTCCTGTATAATACATTTTCTAATGTTTTATCCAACCAAACTGATAGATCCAAATCCCATCTGTTGGATCTTCTACCTCTACCCTGGAGGAAAGTATTTCATATTCTATTAGAGCTCACTTATCATGATTTTTCATGATGATCCCTTTTTTGGTTTCATCTCATTCAAAATTAAACACCGGTGATTTTTATTGATTACTTTCTCTTCATTCTTCAAATTAATATCCTCCAAATACATGTAACACTATTAATATATCTCGTATCCTGATTAAGCTGTAAGTTAGCCAGACTCTCTGTACGTGTGTGCACGCATGCATGTTTTCAACTTTCTCTTTTGGTTAAAAGACATTGATCTCTGGGGTTGCTTTTCAATAGCAGGTATTTGTAATGTAGTAAAACTGAAAGACTTGTTTGCACTAGGGCTCAATAAGATCTAGGAAGAACAGTCATACCTAGTTAGACTTGTCCCTTTCATCTTGCATTCTGTATACTGAACTTTTCACAGATGTTATTTCTGCACTAGATTTTATCAGTTGATTGTACGAGTGCTTTCAATTAGCCTCAAGGTCAACTGTCTCTTCCCTTTCATAGTTTCTTCTGATGTATTCTAATTTTCTTCTTTAATTTTGATAGGTGACTACTCATACAGACATGGGGCATTGTTTTATTTAAAGAAACATAAAATCATGGCAGTTGTAGAGGAAGAAGAAAAGCTTAGTGAATTAGCCTTGATACAGATAAGAGGAGAGAATTGAACAGATGAAGATAAAGGCAAAATTAAAAAGCTAAATTTACTTTAAACCTTAGAATTGTGGAGAACATGAACAAAATTTACTTCATATTCCCATACTACGTATCCTCAATGGAAGTCCATTAATCTGCATGGGACATTGCACAGAACTCAGCCAACAGGTTTCTTGTTACATTCAAAATTCTATACATTTTGTCATAAGAAACTGCAGCATTATAACCAAACTTATTCCTCGGTGCGGAGAGGCGCGGCGTCAGCGCGGCCCTCCCCGAGGGCCACGCAGGGTCCTCTGCCCTCCCCTCTGATTTCCCTCACCCAAGGTCTCGTCCTCTCCGTGCTCCCCGATCACCCAAGAGCCCTGTCCCGAGTCTGACAGGGTCTGTCCACGCTCGGTCTACTGCGAGTGGCTTCCGCGTTGGCGCGACAGGGGGTAGGGGGGCTCGGGCCCAGCCTCACTCTGAGCCCAGACCCAGGGCCCTAAGGTCTGGGGGGATACGCCAATCCCCTCAGTCCTGATTGGTGGGGGACGGAACCCCCTAAACACACCAACCCCCCGGGTTCCAGCACCCTGCCCTGGGTCGCTTCCTACCTCCCTCGCCGGGCCACCGTGACGACTGGGTCTCAGGGGTCTATGCAGACGGGGTCCGAGGTGCCTCTGTCGGTGCTTCCTCCTCCCAGCTGCGTGTCTGCCTTCCCCCCTTTGTCTCTGGTGGCAGCGCTCCTTTTAAGCATCCCGCCGCAATGACGTCCTCCCTAGTGGGGCCGGCACACCCCCTCCGCAGGGGCGGCTGGCCTGCCAGGGCACTGGCGCGGGTCGACGCCATGGGCAGTGTCAGCGCCCGGCGCTCTGGCACAGCTGGGGAAGCGGCGGGGGAGTCGGGCGCAACTGATCGGGGCTGCCGCTCGGCCCCACCCGCGACAGAACAAGCCGTGCAGGGCAGGAACCAGCGCAGGGCCGCCGCTTCTCCCCAGCAAGCCGGGGACAGCGCCCGGTGTGTGGGGCGTGGGGGCTGCCCCGTCACACTCAG